TTTCACATGTATATTCAGTGCTATAGTAACGTTACTGAACAACTAAGGTGTATTACACCTGTGGCACACATCAAACAAAAATTCCTCACATTGATTACAACCTGCAATTTCTTATATTTATATGCTTATTATTTATTTGTTTATAATGCGGTAACCATGATAAACAAATGCTTATTCTACGTAATGGAAACATTAACCCTGTCAGGTCCTGTAATTATCTTTTTGCTTTAACATATTTGCTCTGTGGGAGTTGACAGGTGTGGCCAGTGTCGACACCTTCGGATGTGAGTCATCAATGCCAAGTCAACTTTAGGATTGTCAAACTGAGAGAGAGTTACATCTTGTTCATCAAGATTCATGTGCTTTATAGCAACTTTATATGTGTGGACTTAAAAATGACCTGAAACAGTATGATGTGAACACCTCTTTCCCAAAATAGTCATCATTTTATGTAGTACAGCTTTATATGCAGTTGGTGAACATTTTAAGTTTTAAGTTTCTGGAGTCTCTCCTTAGTTTGAGTAGAACCAAAGGTTATTATTTCTTAAAGTCTTAGTTTAGTGCAGAAGCAGCAAAATGTACTTAAGTATCAAATGTAAAAGTACACATTCTGCAGAACAACAGCTCCTATGCGTTTTATATTATTATAATATTATGAGATTATTGATACATGAATGCTATATTTTACAGCCAGTTTTAAGCCAGACTCTATATGCAGGTATTTTAACCCAGTGGTTCCTAACAAAGGGCCACTGGATAAACCTGAGGTGTCACGAGATGATAGGAAAGAAGAAAACAAAAAGTAAATAAATAATGGATAATTGTACCTCTTTGAACCTGAAATTGCTATTTAAATTAAATCATCTGAGAAGTTTAGGACTCATAGAAACATAAAAAGGAGCCACAACTAGACCTGGCTTTTTTTTTTTTTAAATTAGAGGTCACAAGCCAAAGGGGTTGAATTGAACCAGGTTTATATATTTTTTGTGTATGTAAAATCTTAATCTGAAAATTAACCAGTAACTAAAGGTGTGAATGTCAGTGTAGAGGAGTAGAAAGTGCAACATGTTTCCTAAAGTGTAAAGTAAAATAAAATGAAAATAAACCAAAGTACCTCAAAACTGTGCTAAAGTAAAGTGATTAAGTAAATGTACTTTCTTCTGGTTGGTTACTGTTCACCATCAGGAATCAGTTATGTGCAACAGCTGTAATTCAATGTTTTTTAAAAAAGGTGTAAACTACTGTATATCTGCTAAATGAGTTGCAACATCTGCACGCTGGTTGTACGGAAGAGCTCATAATAGAGGGTCATTCTCTCATAAAATGGTGTTTCCTGTCCTGGATGGCCAACACTTTCTGGTCTAGACAGCTTTTGAATCATTCTGTGTGATTCAGTAATGAACCAGATCCTGGAGTCATGGTTTATTTTGTGTTGGGATCAGTCAGATTTCTGGTAAACTGGGACTGGGACCTTTTTGGCTTGAAGGGACGTCACCCGTTTAGTCATGTGTATGAACAGAAGCAGTATTTCTGTATTCGCGGAAATAAAAACCAAGAAGATAGTCGAGTTTATACACGTTGGCAATAGGGTTTTTGTAATATTACTGAAAGGGATTGAACAATAATTTGTCCACTGATCATTTAAATGAACTCCTATGGAATAATATCCCTATAATGTCCTTATAGTGATATCCACATATATTATAGGGTAGTAACCTGTATTCAATAAACTACTATATCTATTTTTCTTCTCAAGTTTTAATGTTGTTCCATATTTTACTAGCCTAAACAATACCTGTTGACAGGTTTGAACGGATTTCTTCCCTCAGTCTTATCTCCTCAAAATGATGTCCTTGAAATTAGGCCAATGGATTTCCTTGTCGGCGCCCAAAGGTGCAGGAAGCCTTTTCCAGAAGGGCCCGGCCAACCCCAAAAAAAAAAAAAAAAACACACCTACTGCATTGCAAACTGCGACAGAGTCATTCACTGACACTGCCTGCTGCCACAGAAGTGGGCGGCGGAAGACGGACTTATCTCTTCCAGCCCTCAGCGTTCTTTCTTACTCCGCAGCCGCCTGATGCCAGTACACATGGATCTGGGACAGCGAGCGAGGGAGAGCTGGACCCTGTGTGGGAGTTTCACACACCTCAACAGGTAGGTATGAGCACAGGCCTGCGGTCGTTTTACTGCCATCTACCAAAATGTGTGTGTTTCCTCAAGGTGCTTTTTTTTTGGGCCGCCCTGTAAAAGTGGAAGTCTTTTTTCTTTTTGCCTAATTGAGGATTTTGTGAGCGTTTTTTTTTTTTTTTCTGCTCGACATTGTATTGTTTTTATAAGCTGGCGATCGTGGGGGACGTAAGAAAACTATCATATATCATATCATGTGTCATAGTTTGACATATTAGCCACAGTGTGTGTTTCTGAAGTTGCTTTAAGGTGGAATCATCTTCCAAACCTGTTGAATCGTTAACGTGGCCCGTTGTTTCAGTCTAATGGGTTCTTCAGTGTGCTCAGCAATATGGTGATGTTTCATCCTAGCACTCCTGGATAAGGATCAACCTGGGGCCTGAGCTAAAGAGTGGACTTTACCACCCAAACTCTATGTGAACATGGGTCTAGGAAGGAAGGCAAGATGTTGGCATAGCTGTTGAGTTAAATGCCCTGCTATGCCATCAAATTGCCATCTTTCTCTCCCCTTTGCAGCAAGTACTCCAGGGATATAACTGGACCTGTTAACACCGGGGAAGTCCTCCAGAAGAGTGCAGTGTCATTGGTTCAATATTTGCTTGCATTTTGAATCCTGTGTATGATTAAATGATAAGGCTGTCTGTATGGCATATTTATACTTTTGAAATAATCTGTGTGTTAGGGAAAATGTGTAGTTTTTGTCACTGTGGGCCACACAATGATATTTTAAAGGAAAGCAGACCCAACAAAAGCATTGTTTACTGTGTGTGAGTGATGGCGGCACTAATTCAATTGTGAATTGTGTAAAAAGAACTGTCTATTAGATTTCAGTGGAATCCTATATCATGACAATAAGACACAGTTATCTTTTTTATAATTATTATGTTCTCTAAATGTATTATTCTAAAGAAATTCTATCTCTAGTTGTTTAAGTGTAAATAGTTTTACTGCTTTTTTCCTGATGTAATGCAAAACAGTGAATGTAACACTAACTTACTTTTGCATGTGACGTATTGTGATAGATCAATATCGTTACGGATAATATTCTTATTCATTTCAGCCATGTTACCCAGCAACATTTTCTCACAGAAGCTTATTCCAGTGCACGTGTATTATGTGTTGCAATTGGCATAATGATAACTAACTTAACGCAGAATTACAACTTAAGGAAGCTGAAGGGAGCCAGTCTTTGTTTTTTCCCTGGTGAATAAGCATGTTCAAAATACTGTAGCTAATTCCCTTAAATGGTGGTACAATACATTTACTCAAGTATTGTACTTGTATTTCATTGTATTGAAATTAGCACCAACCACCAGCCAAATGCTGATAAAATATAAACGTGGCTGGTAGATGTCAGACACAGAATGTTTTACTATTAATGGGCTGTTATCAAAAATTGGTTGGTTGGTAGAAGTTCACATTTGAAAACACAGACATTTTCCCACCCTACCTAAGGACAATTTTACTTGAGTAGTTCCATTTTATGCTACTATGCACTTCATTACATGTCAGAGAGAGATGCTGTAACACTACATTTATTTGACAGCTAGAGTAGCCATTTTTTGGTTTAAATGTTTATTTTGAAACATATAATATATTTATACAATATTATGCATTGTTATAGATGACAATGCAATACTGACCCAGCAGTATATAAAATAATTCATATTTGCTCCATATTGAGCAATTCTAATATTAAAATGTTTCACACACACTTAATAAAGATAAATAAAATAATGTAACACTCTGAAAGAGGTCATTCTATATAATTAAGAACATTTTAGTGATATTAGATTACATGTGTAATTTTACATCAGACGCATTTTGAATGCAGGACTTTTACTTTTTACACCACCACTACCCTGCACCCTGCAGCCCCATAGTACACACTATGGAAGTGCATTATTGTTGGTCCCAGTCCTGTAAAGGGTGTGTGTAATGTAGCCTTGCTGTTGTTCACCTAATATTGCATGATTCTAATAAATATGATTGCAGAGCTGAAATGAGAGGTGTGTTTTGTTAAATTATTTCTGCAGGCTTCAATATCGGCATTATGGACATGTAGGTGGATGTCTAATTAAATGCCATTGAGTGTTTATTCATGCTAACATCAACTCAGTGATAAAACATATATATTTTTAAATATAAGCTGATGTGTGGAAATGTTTTATTTCAGACCTCGTCTAAAATCACAGTAGACTTTGAACTGTAGAACATATATTTATTTAACTATATATATTTAAATATATAACATTAACATTTATTTATATATGTTATATGTAATATAATAGTTATTTGTTCATTCATTTCTGTCATTAGCTACTGTTGAAATTTTACAAATACTGTGTCAGCTTAACAATTTTAAATAAAGGTTTATTTTGTTGCAGCATTATAATGATAATTTACATTAAAAAAATGAAATTAAAATAGAATCTAAAAATTTTAAAGATAACATTTATCATAAAACTGTCAACTCCATGGTGAATTATAAACAAACCCAACAGACTATGAAGGTTAACGTGGACATAGAAGTGTTGGTCACATGATCAGCTCGGCTGGGTCATGTGACCTCGTGACGAAGCGTGTTCGCTGCTCCTCTGCTTCCATGCTGCTTCCTCCTCCTCCTCCTCCTCCTCCTCCTCCTCCTCCTCCTGCTGCTCCTGCTGTGTGTTTTCATGCCTTTGCTGATAGTTAGGAGGCGGTTTAACGGTTTCCAACAGGCGGAGTGTGGCAGGAGAGCTGTGCGGTAAGGAGATATCATTTACCGGAGCAGTAAGAGGTCTCGTTCCTCGCGTGAAAACATTAGCTTAGCTTAGCAGAGCGGCTAGCAGCCGCGCTGCCAAGGTAAACAACAAGAGGTAACAGTTCATCAGCCTGCGAGCATGCTAACTTATTGAAGCAACGTGTGTCATAGCTTCTGTGGCGGATAAGGAGTAACGACGTTTTGTTTCTCTGCTTCTCTCTTGTACCTCCGCTAACTTAAAGTAAGACAACAGACATGAACACCAGCATGGCAGGTTATGTTTTTATCAATCTCAGTGAGAGTCTTTTACTGCAGTATCCTGACCACCACATAGAACATTAGAGATAGAGGTCACACAGTAAAAGGTTACAAATATTTAATAAGACAATATGTGGTTGTAGCTGTAGATTTTCTATCTCCCACACCCCTGCTGCTGCTTCAGTAACACATCTGATTCTGTGTGACACTATCCCTCTCACTATCCTGAGAGGTTTGCACAGTGTTCATACTACTACTCCAGCAGTTTATTATCCTGACGAGTTCCTGCTATGGGTCAAACTCCAAAAGCACGCTGTCCTACATTTCCCATAATGCAACCAAAAGCCTCCCTTTCCAGTAAACACCCATATCTTCAGTCCCAAACAGACTTTTTATTAAAAAACAATCAAAATAAATGTAGTCTCCAAGCCCAAACCGGTGTAACCTTTAATGACGGATTAAAACAAAGTTAATATAGAGCTGAAAGACATTTTATAGCTTAAGTAGAAATCATCAAGATGAGTAAAGTGATCTTTATCTTTGGTGATCTATTTCCCCTTTATTAAAAAGCTAATAAATTGGTCAGTGTGGTTTTCTGTGACCACAATAAACACATTCTGACTCACTAAAATGATGGATACTGGATTTTTTTAGGCTCATGATGCTATGATTAAAAATGTATATTTAGCAGTTAATCAGTCTGTTAATAACAATATTGGCTGATTAATTATATTTTTACATAAACGAATTAACATTCTTACGATGGTCCCTTAAATATATTCAATAATTATGCACTAAATGGGCCATTTTACAGTTGAAAAATATCCTTGTTGAAGCTCTGGTTTCCTTTTTTCTTGTTTTGCTAATTTTCTATTGCAGTGTCTTGGCCAGCATATTCTAATACTTATGTATCTGTTATAAGCTGAAATAAGGTTGTACTGAAAAGTGGAGAGACAGGTAAACTGTTTATTATGATAGTTTTAACGTAGATATTTTCTATAGTTACAGACTTCTGAACTGAAAATAAGTGCACAGGATATAAACACGAAAAGTATTTTCTTTTTAAACATTCCCATATGTGCCTTAGAGTTAACAGCTAGCTAATGTTAACATGGGGCTGTTTGTTTGGCAGAGATGAACAGTGAAAACTTCAGCCTGAGTGAGAAGATAGTGTCACCCTCCTACATTCGGCAGGGGAGCCAGGCGCGTCGTGGCCACGAACAGCTCATCAGACACTTACTGGAGCAGGTAAAAGTCTACAGCTGCCCTCATGTCTCCTCGAGGTCACTGCAGATTCATCCACTCATCACGTTGTGTACCCTACAGGGCAAGTGTCCAGAGGAGGGATGGAGCGAGAGCACCATAGAGCTCTTCCTGAATGAGCTGGCTGTGATGGACAGCAATAACTTCCTCGGCAACTGTGGCGTGGGGGAGAGGGAAGGCCGGGTGGCATCCAGCCTTGTCGCAAGACGACATTACAGGTTAAAGTTTAACATGAACTTTATAATGTTTGAATGGAGTCACTCTGCATGACAGTGGAGCCCGATCAATACTGGATTTGTGAGTTAAAAGAAACATTTTAAATATGGATCCAATAAATTTTGTTATGAAAGGATTGAAAGGAGTGTTTGAGCATGAGAGTTGAGCTTGGAAACAGACGTTTGACCAAATCAAAATCTTAAATCAAGGTCCTTTTACTTGCTTCTTCAGCTCACATAAACACTGAAACTGATTGATCTGTGTATGATGAACTTGCCCATACTGGTGTGTCTGTATATTCAGGAGTTCTAGCCATACAAATCATTGGTGACTAGTGAAATATAGATTAGGATGCTTGACAAACTTTAGAGAGTTGTTAAACATTTCAACCCAGCTGAACCTCACCTGTTCTATGTAGGTTGATCCATGGCATAGGTCGGTCAGGTGACATTGCTGCTATTCAGCCCAAAGCTGCAGGATCCAGTCTGCTTAACAAGCTGACCAATTCAGTTGTGTTGGACATCTTAAAGCTCTCAGGTATGTATGTGTTATCATTCAGATTAAGTCCATGATATCCATTTGCGTGGGGTTTCTTGTACGTAGGTGTACATAGAAAAAAAATATACAGTAAAGCGTGCTTTGTTTCTTCTGTTATTTAACAGGTGTCCGGAGTGTGGCGAGCTGCTTTGTAGTTCCCATGGCGACAGGAATGAGCTTGACTCTGTGCTTTCTGACCCTTCGTCATCGGAGACCCAAGGCTCGCTACATCATTTGGCCTCGCATTGACCAGAAGTCCTGTTTCAAAGCCATGATCACAGCAGGTGATAATGACATCAATATCTGACGTCCTGTCACCCTTACATCCTGCTCACAGACGGGGGTTAGAAATATGGCAGCAGATTCGATTCGGATTTTCAGTCAGAAATTGTTTAGATTCTCCAAAGTTGTGAAATAATAATAAGTGTGTCTTTGTTGAATAGAAACACAGACAATTGCACCCAAGGGCTCTCGCTGTCTCTTGCTCACACCTGTCTGTTTTATCAGGCTTTGAACCGGTGGTGGTGGAGAACGTCCTTGAGGGCGATGAGTTGCGGACAGACTTAGAAGCAGTTGAGCGCAAGATTGAGGAGCTTGGAGCCGAAAACATCCTGTGTGTTCATTCAACAACGTCCTGCTTTGCGCCACGGGTCCCTGACAGGTAAAATACGTTTTTTATTTACCCCCTTTAGACTTTTCCAGATGCTACAGTAGTTGATTCATAAATACCTGTAAGGATAGCATAAAGTTTATCATGAATTATTACTGCCTTGTAGGCTCGAGGAGCTGGCCGCTGTGTGTGCCAAATATAACATTCCCCACATAGTTAACAATGCATACGGAGTACAGTCATCCAAATGCATGCACCTAATACAACAGGTAGGTATCGCTCATTGGAGCTCACCTCTCAATACATTTGTGTTGTTAATGTTTACGTGTCTGTCTGTCATTATATGGCTCATTTGTGACAGATTGTTGTTTACGTTTTCCTTGGGCTGTTTTTCAGGGGGCGCGTGTTGGGAGAATTGATGCCTTTGTACAGAGCTTGGACAAGAACTTTATGGTTCCAGTAGGTGGCGCCATAATCGCAGGTTTTGATGAGTCCTTCATACAGGAGATAAGCAAGATGTACCCTGGTGAGTATTACCAGCACTATGGCTGAGCAATGTAAAGTGAAATCATGGAGGTAATTGATAGAATAGTAGATAAGTGGATGTGTATTTATGTACATGCATTTTCATACAGTTTAATATGTGCATTAGTATGTATCTCTGTCCTGTATCTCCTGATGGATTAATGTAAATCTTTACTTGGCTCCACACACCTTTTTTTGTTATATTTTTAAAAACTTAATTTGATAAAATAAATTCTCTATATCTCTACCTACCTTAAAATCTCTATCTACAACCGTTACAATATTTGAAAATATGAACCCAGTAATTACAGGATCAATGAAGTCAGTTAATAACTATTAATTATTTAAAAAGATGAACAATCCTGCCATAGTTCTTGTTACCCTTTAGTCTTCTTTTTTAGATTTTCTTCATTGCTGTTTATTTTCATTTAACACTGAGTTTGTTTTCAGTGCCTCTTAGTAAAGTTCAGGACAACTGAATTTCAGTGATATTGCGTAAGAGTAGCCTTTATTAGGGATGGGTATTGATTGAATCTTACCAGTGCCAACATGATACATGGGTTCTGGTGTCGATACAAGAAGAATTATTAGGTTTTTTCTAATATTTTATATGTGCTTGTGTAAGATAAAGTTTCTTATTGACAACAAATCCAATGTAAAGACCAAAACCAACAATGCATAAGTCAATTTTTTAACACTGTATAATTTCTCAACCTCCACCAAGCCCATTATTCCTACTAAAGGTGCAAAAAAGAAAGAAGGCTCAGTGTTTTCCAAAGAACAAGTCATCAGTACTTTTTAGCAAATGTTGCTCAAACAGAAGCATTTTCTGTGGAGCTTGTAAGTATTTCCAGCATCAGGGCAATGTATGGGGGACTGTGCCTTTGTTCATCTTAATTCAGGAACACAGTCAGGCTCAATGATTTTTAATGTTTTTGGACAACAATGGACCTCAATATAGGAAATATAGTATTCCTTCAGATTTACACTTTAAATCATGAACTGTCTGATCAATGAATAGGTAAACAAAACTAAGAATCTTCATTCAATGCCAGGTTTTGAAACTTATTGTTTGAAACTCATTTCATCCAGTTTTGAGAGTCCATACCCTTAGCTCTCATCCTCAGCTATACGGTTTCAGTTTTTCTGTTTGGTCAGGCTAGTTCCAGACCAGGTATCAGCTAGAGAAAACTGATACCTGGTCTGCCATAGACCCCATCTTTACAGCCACTGATAATTAGGTTTGTACACAGCAGACTTTCTTTCTGTAGCTGCTTAGCAAAGTCACCTCTTGGCCTTCTTTGTCCAGGTCGAGCATCGGCCTCACCTTCCCTTGATGTCCTCATTACCCTTCTCACTCTGGGAGCCAGCGGCTACAAGAAGCTCCTGTCAGAAAGAAAGGTAAGCGCACGCACCACCTTATGAGCCTAAAAAACACTGCGGCAATGTCAGTCTGAATGTTTCTGTGCATGCTGTGTCAACATCTTTCCCCAGAAGACGAAAAAAAACCCCCACAGCTTACATAAGTTGTATTGAATTGCAGTGGATCACATGTTACGGCTGTGCGTGTACAGCTCCGCGCTCACCTGCGCTCTGACTGAGGGAAGAGGCTCGAGCAAGGAATGAGCTTTGTAGAGGGAGGAGTGTGCTCCAGCAAGATAAAATTGATCCTAAAGTTTGAGAAAACATCCCCTGGTGGCTCGCTGCTTTAAAGCACAGTTGCTCACAATGCAGCATCCCCCCCTCTTCAAATGGTAGGCACTGCAGCATTTTCACACCTCAGAAGTGCTGTTCCATAAATGTACTGTATATGTGCTGGACTATATCTGTTTCTGATGATGCTCAGGAAGATTCGGAAACAAGTGATTCTTCTTAAAACCTTCCAAAGCTGCAAATTTCCCAGAAAGGACCTTGAATAGACTACATTTAATCTTCTTACATGCCCTATTAGTAAAATCCTTGCGTCGTCACAAATTAGACCCTAAAGTTAAAAATGACACTCTTACTGGATGGCATTCAATACCCAAATCCCATTAGCATAAAACTGACTCCGTAGCAGAAATATACATCTAGGAAATTCCTCTGGCCTCTCGCGTGACCCGACGCCATCAAGACTTATTGATTTCTCTTGGTCCACACTATGCATAATTAATGTACAGGACCAGTTTTCCATATTGTCTGCACAACTGAGTGAATTCCTCCCATCCCCCAGGGTCAAAAGCTGTAAATAATTCAGACATTTCATCTGTTTGGATTCATTTACAGCCTCGTGTAACCATTTTATAAAATGTCTAGATATTGGAAAGAATAGCAGATGTTTTTTTTGTGTGTTTTTCTTTCTTTTTGGGTAAGGATAGGGTTTAGTCATCACACACATACACACCCTTATTGTCTGCAGAGTCGTAGCCATCCACTCTCTCCACCACTTGCGCCCCTCCAAGATAAAGTCATCCATTGTTATTAGAGAACAAGGGACACTTAGAGACACTTGACATCATTGAAAGGCTGTTTGTGTTTGACTCATGACAGAGAAAATATTTTCCTTCTTGATTCTTGCAAATTAGGAAAGTATGAGTCAGCAGAGGACGCTCACACACACTCTCACTCACAGTTGCAGAGAGCAGATCCTTTAATGTGCAATGCTTCACTAGGGAATCGGGCCCCAGTAGCCAGCAACAAACAAAAAGCACTGCGATTTGTTGTTGTGCAGCTTTTCCACCTGGCCGGGGCTCAAAACATCTGTGTCCAGAACTCCATTGCCCCTCATTCAGTCTTCCACACACTGCTTTGAGTTGAGACTCTGAACTAAACACACTTTGTCAGCATATTTTAAACATGTGGATGTGAGAATCTCAGGATAAAAACATGCGCTTCTGTCTCTCCTGCCTCTCTAATTGATCCCAGAGGTGGATGTGCAATGTGTGTAAAGATCCTTGCTAGAGATGGAGACACACATCGCTTGCGCCGAAGCTTGGAGGGAAACACACACAGCCAGGCAGGCAGGCAGGGGAAAGAGTAATGAGGGGAAGAGGGGGAGGGGTTTGGACGGGGACCGGCCTGGCCTGCTTGCCGATAGATTTGCTTGATTAGCAATACAACCAAGGCCGCCGCTGCTAAAATAAGACTGTGTGAAAGGAGCATTGTGTTACTATTTATAGTTCTTTCGCATGGCCCCTGCTCTCCAGTAGGTCTGTCTCTCCATACCTCCTCTCTGTGTCTGCATGTCCTGCAGGAGATTTATTCGTTCTTGGCTCAGGAGCTGAAGAATCTGGCCTCTGCACACGGGGAGAGATTGCTTCACACCCCACATAACCCCATTTCACTGGGTGAGCTCCACGCACTGGCTGCAGACTATTTTATCCATGTATTTTGGTTTATTTTGTTTACTGGTGAACACTACATTTCTTTAATCTTAATATTTATTTAATTTGTATTATTTATTTGATATTATATATAATATAATGTGTTTTTGGTGTGGCCCTTTTCTCCTCCAGCCATGTCTCTGAATGGTTTCCAGGCCGAGGGCGACAAGGCAGTGACTCACCTGGGCTCCATGTTGTTCACCCGGCAAGTGTCAGGAGCCAGGTATGAAAACTTTAAAAGGGAGGGGCCACATTCTGGCTTGTAATTAGAAACATGGGGAGAGAGGGTGTGGAGGTGTGTGACTGTGTGTTGGGGAGTCACAAAAGTCTAAAATGGGGTTTGGCCGTGTCCTCAAAAATGAGGGGATGAGCTCTGTGTTGCCAAACAAAATGGCCAGTGGAGATCAGCAATCAGGCAGATGGATCTGCTGAATATGGTGGAAACTACTTCACATGATTAGACTGCCCATCCTGCCAGGGGGCCGCCTTCTAATTTAATAGGATGTTTCCATTACGATCCACAGAGCGATGTCTCTACAGCAGGCACTTACTGTGACGCAGCTTTGACAGGCATGTCCTTGCTCCCACTGGCAGTGTTTCTTAGCGGAAGGGAGCAGGATTTGTCAATTCTTCATTGTTGCCTTCTGCCTCAGTCACTCATGGCTGCCAAAATCCTGAATTTCAAGTCAGGGCCTGCTTCTGTTTTTTTCCATTTTTCCCTTCAGTACTTTTTGATCAAGCATGGGCGCCCATCTAAATATTTTAAATATCCCCGATGAATGATTTATTTGGGCCATTCTGTCACGCTTGTTTTGTGTTTTTCCTATTTTAATGCACTAATGGCTCAATTGCATTCAAAAGCTTCTTTCCTCTCAATTTTTTTTCAAGTGACCATTATTTCCATGGTCAGAGTTCAGAGCTCACTTTTAAATGTTTTATCCTTGTATGTCAGTAGCATGCTGAGATGCATTGACTGCGAAGGTTTATGCTCCAATGACACACATTCACCTTTATAATTTATAGCAGTATACGATACATGTTTAATAAATGAAGTATTTTCAGTGCAGGCCGTGAATCCAGTGCGAGGGAGCTGCAATGAGCTATTCTCTCTAAACACCAAAAGAGATTAATAGAGATCTACATCTTAGAACAATGCATTTCTCTGCCATAATGGTCTCTCATACACACAGTCCTAATAGCTAGCCAGTAATTGATTTCACATTAAAGTGAGTCTAAACAGTGCTGACAGCGCTGAAACCCCCGCCAGTTTTTCGGAGGCATACGTATTGCTTACAGTATTGCAGAGTTTGACACTTTGAAACCAACTACAGTTCAAAGGTTTAGCAGTTTCTCACTTAAAATTTCCATCTCCTGAAAACACAAGAGGTTGTATTTTGTTGATAATGCAGTGCTGCCTCATCTCTCTCATTTCTGCTTTTTCTTTTTAACAAAGCATTCAACTTTGTAAAGGAATTTCCTTTTCTGAATGGAGCTTTTAATTTAGCAAAGAAAACAACTCGCAGCAGCTGACTGACAAGCCTTTGTAAACCTTTCTTCTAAAGATCTTGGAACTGAAATTATGCAATAAGTGTATGTTTTTGAAGTCTTAAACAGAACTGTGATATGCTATCTGCCAGAGGAAACTTCCCCTTTAAAGTTGCAATAATCAGTATTAAAAATGGATCACATGGCCACTTGTAGGCAAGGTCGCTCGTGGTGACAAATTTCCACCAAACATGGCACTTTCCCCTCACTTCTACTGAGCTTTGTAGCGTGTTTCACGCACATTGTCCACTATCACTGCTGTCACAGTGTCTTTTTCAACAGCTACAGCAGGCAGCTGTTTTTAGCACAAAAAAAGCTCTAAAAACCCACTGTACACTACCTGCCGAGACAAAGTTAGCAACTAGCTGGATTATCCAGAACATATTGGAGCATTTAGCATCTTAAAGAGGCAGCTATTTCCCTCAGGGTACAGTGGAGACCAAAACAGCATTCGTCAGGTGGAAAACAACTTCAGATAATTGATGCTCTGTGTCTGCCAGATGTGTAAATGTTTCCTAACATGTTCCTCATATTATACTTAAAAGTTGATCATATATCAATCTGCCGGTTTCATTTTATAAATTGAACACAGTATTAACAGTGAAATATACAGTCACATTTTGTGTATAAAATTTGTGTAAGCACCACTTTAAAGTTTTCCACAACTGTGAGTAGACAGTTGCAGAGGCACAGAGTTGTGGGCTGTGGTGTTCTTACTATTGAAAACAATACAATTGAACATTTCTTATTAAAGTAGAGTTTGTTTGCTCATGCTTAGTTTTCCAATGTTACATGAAGTAAATAATGCAAAAAGTTTTAACTGGATGAATAGGCTGCTGCCTTCAGTACAAATTATTTTCCATTCTGTATAAGTCAAATTATTTTGTTTAAATAAAAGTTGTTAAATGATCATCACAGCTCTACATTATCCTTGTTTTTCATCCATGTTTTTAGGGTAATACCGCTGGGCAAGGAGCAGACCATAAGCGGACACACGTTCCGCGGCTTTATGTCGCACTCTGAGACGTACCCCTGTCCTTACCTCAATGCTGCCTCAGCTGTGGGTATCACTCGTGAAGATGTGACACTCTGCATTAAAAGGCTTGACAAGTGCCTGAAGACCTTAAAGAAAGAGGGAAGTGTGGCGAAAAGCAGTTCCCCAGTACTTCCTTTGTGCCAGGAGGACACTACTGGCGAGTGACTGAAATACGAACATTTTACAGGCAAAGAGAGAGAGAGAGAAAGATTTCTGCGTAGTTTGAGTCCTCTCCTGCCTGCACTTATTTCTCACCTGATTTTGGACTGTGTGCGTTTTGAATGGCACTTGCTGATGGATTATCAATTCAGACATTGACTTGAACGCTGCGGCAACCGCTAATGATGAAACTGTGTGCAGGTGTTCATTACAAACAAAAATGATACAAGCTGAAGTCACTGATTAATTCCCTCCTCTGTGAAGGCGTGCTAATTAGTAGATAATGTAAGGACACAGGCTGCATACAAATGCCTCTCGGGAGCATATGGTTGTTCACCACTGATCTAAAATTAGACCAAAGCATCTGCAAAGACCATCTCATTGTTGTCTGTATGTTTTGAAAATGCTTTACTTTATTATGGATTTGGACTCAAAATAGATTATGTAGCTATTTACAGTGGCCTTTACTTGATGTGTGTCATTTTTCTTAACTAAAGCCATCTAAAGCCTCCACAGTGCTGTTATTGGATGAAATATTCAGTAAATTAGAGAGTCTCTCACTTTGAAAACAAGACTAGAATTCTGTTGTGGGAACAGGATCTTCCACTCACTGATATATGAAGTCATATAGCTTTATAATGTAATATGTTGGGCCATGTCTCCTGCAGTATGTTGTAATGTGATACAAATGCTGTTGAGCCATTAAGTCCAGTGTATTGAACTAGCTCATCGACTTTCAGGCTCTGGAACGGATCGCAAGGAACAGATAATCAATGAAGTGCAAACATCGATCACTCCTGTGTTTAGCAAAGGAAGTGTTCACCTCTCAGTAAGAACCTGCGATGTATGTAAAATTAACTATTCAAGAGACTTAGCTGTATTTTACTGTAAGATCTTGTAAGATAAATTTGGATTTCAGTTAGAACTTTACCGGTGGAATTAATCCTTGATCACACAAATCTCCATGTTTACGCAGTTTCTTATATATTCTGTCTCATTCCTGCTGCTCTGCAATCTCAGTCATTAGGAAGCAGAGCTGGTAGTGCCCCCAGGCACAAAAATAGACTCCTACTAAAGCCCCACTCACTGATGACTAATCTATATTTCTATACTGCACTGTCCAAATTCTCCCTGTGCCCTCCCCTTCATCTGCTGTGGATTATCAAGGTTGATTGCTGTTTTCAAATGCGTGGAGCATGTGAAGTAGATGCCGTTGCATGTTCTGGAGTTCAAAACACTCATGTACGGATCAGGAGTGGAAGGTACCAGCTGTCGTAGCTGCTGCAGCTGTGCCGGGCCCAGGTGTGCTTGTGCGTAGCGATGTACAGTCAGCAACATGTCGGTTTTTCAACTGCAATTAGTAATGCAGGTCTGAGCAGCAGAACCAATCCACCCAGCAGCGTTTGAAAGTGGGCTGGAGTCAGAAAGATAAGGGTGCTGTATCAGCATCACTGTTCCCAAGCTGTACTGAACCATTAACAGAAAAAAAAATACAGTGGAAAAACACTGTGACAACGCCGGTACAGTGCAGCACTCTGAAAAGCAGGTGGCATTCACTAAATTATTTTCTCAATATTGTTGATTTCTTGTGCTCCAGCAAATGTACCCGATCACTGTCAAACAGAATTAAGAATGAATCAGCTGTAGAAGATTTGACTGACTGATCCTGAATGTGTTAACTTTACATTTGGTTTACACAAACAAATCTGGCTCAGTATGCAGAGCTGTTTTTTCCCTGTTCAGAGAAGAGTCCAAAAATCTATTTTTATCTTTTTCTTCTCCCTCTATTACCCGTCACCAGTTTGCTAGGTTTCCCCAGCTTTTGCTGATGTTGCAGATATGCTGCGGGGAGGATTGAGAGAGTCAGACCCACTTTTTTTTGTGCTGGCCAGTTTTAGAAGACCCCCCCCCCACCTCCCCCTTCCTCTATTGATCAGGTCTGCTGCAGTGTGTAAATCAGAAAAGGGCTGCCACTGAGAAACTTGAACAGGGCATCACAGTCTTTATTTATGCAGTCCCATCATCAGTGTGATAGTATCAAATATTGCAAAGAGGAAACTGGTTAGGTAATTCAAACAGCAAAGATTATTGGGGGCCACAATGTGACCCCTGTAAGATAGCTTATCCATCAGGATTCAGTTGTTTTCTCAATCATTCCCTGAAATCCAAATGTTTGTTTACCTTCATCCCTCCTCAACAAAATAGACTTTAAAAATATTCCCTGAATCTGCACCCCACACACTCAATCATAAGTCTAAGTACCCCAGGGATGTTGCTGGATGACAAATGGCCCTTCGCTCCTGGCTCTCAGCAGCTGCCAGGTAGGCTTCAGTGATGATGGAGTGCCAGAGTGGAACAAACAGGGCCATAGATTAACAGACTGTTACCAAAAGGGGCCGTAGTTTACCAAACAGGTTGTGGATTAACAGACTGCTACCAGTAGGTACATTGCACCTGGCTGCTATATAGGCACCACAACTGTTGGCCTTTGCTCCAGAGTTCTATAATATTGACCTGTGTGTCTGTATTTATCATACAGCAAAGTCTCAGAGTAACCTTCAAGCTCCCCAGAGATCACTAAACATGTGTCAGAGCAGGAATAGCCAATCAGATGCGAGGATTTAACCTGTGTTAACCCTAATATTTCCAGTAGCAACTAACATGTCAAATTAAGTATTATTATCAATCTATTTATAATATAAATATATATAAATGAATGAAATAATAGAAAATAGGATGAATTAGAAACTTTGGGCCCTATATGTCAAAGATTTTAAGGTATTCTTCCCATGCTGTTGAAGTTGGCAAATTGGATTATGTGAACTGATTTGGGAAAGAGGAAAGGGTGTCGCATTGTCTTTTCTATAATACATACTATGATAATTGTCATTTTTTCATGAAATGGCTACACAAAGGCCTAAAATACTGGAAAGGCTTCATTTTGATTGCTTATTTTGCCTCAAAAAGAATATTATTCAGTACATGTTTTATCAGTGATTACTTTGTTGTGGGTAGACAATCAAGTTGTTATAATTTGATTATGACAATTACGTGAATTGTTTTTCTTAAATAGTATTTTAAAAGCATATATGTGGAATCTGCCATATATGAGTTTGTGGTGTTTTGTAGCTGTCTTAAATGTGTTTTGATAGCTTGTATTCTAAGTTTTTGAGAAGGACTAAAAGTGAAGGATTTTTATTTATTTTATTTCTTGTTTTTCTTTCTGTTATTTCAGTCCAAATTCCTCTTCTAGGAGTTGGATACACAATCTCTCTTACCTTATGTTGATACAGGTGTCTCTGGCCATATACTGCATACATAGTGTACGCTTTGCCTGCATTTGCACCCACTCAGATAGCCATTGTATTCAGTGAAGAAGCTCTAGCAGCTGAGCAGCCCTGCATAGCCCGCCACTGAGGCGCTGTCCATGGTGCTGCAGTTCTGCACCTCAGAGATCGTCTGTATGGAGGAGGGGTACTGTATAGCTTACTGTATGTAAATAAAAAAAAATCCACCTATAGGTAACGATATATCCCTTCCTTGCGTCTCAGACAAGCGGCTTGGTTTCATAGAGAGACTTTTATATGATGGCTTTGATTCAAACATATTGTTAAACTGCCAGAAAAAAGCGCAAAATAAAACCAAAATGATTATATGATGGACGTCGTTTATAAATGTATTTAGGAAATGTCCCCCTTTTCCTATGAATGCACATTGACAAAACGCAATATATCTGCTAATATAATTAAACCATATTCCTGTAATTGCCCCCTATATTCAATAACAGCCATATCTGCATAAAGAAGCGCCCCAAAGCAACATTAACTGCGTGTGAAACGCTCAGGGTTGCCAGATCTGCGGGGCTAGCCTACTAAAAGCCTTTTATTTTTTCTTTTCGGTGTGCGTGGTTGTTGAACCAACAGTTACCGACTGGAGCTCTGACTTAATAAATAATTAAAGTGGACGGAGGGGAGCTGCAGCTGATTTGCTGATGTCAGGGAGCCAGTGCAGCATTTCATGGTGCAGGGTGTAAACGCGCGGTGCCATCTGCCTCGATCGGTGCTCTCAACGAACCTCACACATGCGAGCCCGGCAAGAAAGATGCTGCCAACTCTCAAGATTTGGGCATTGTTTTCCGTGTCGCTCGGTTTCCTGTCTCAACCGGGTCATTTGAAGAAGGCTTTCCGATGTCCTTCAACATGCAGCTGCTCCAGGGAGTCTATCATTTGCGTCGGGTCCTCCTATGTCCCAAGGATTACCCCCAACGACATCAATTCTTTGTGAGTAGCCTCTGTATCTTTTTTTTTTTTTTTTTTTCACCAAACCAAAAACACTGCATGTATGTGTAATATGCAGCAATATAGGCTTATTAAGTTTCATCCTAGTTGTCCCAGGCTGTGTTTTATAATGTGCACCATCTTAATAACGACTGATGTTGCAAGGCAATGCAGTCCTGACTCTTCTCCACCTCCTCCGATTTATCACTTTTCAGCATTCCATTTGCTTTGCCGGCTTTTATGTTCGTCTTTTCTGCTTCTTCCTTTCAGGAGTATCGTCAATGGGACTTTCTCAGAGGTCAAAGAGGCGATGTTTGCTCACATGCCATCTCTCCAGCTACTGTAAGAGTACTTGAGCTGCATGTCATTCCTCTGTCTTATTATGAGTTGGCCTTATTGTAGCAAAGGCTCCTATTAGGACTGAACTATGCAGACAGATTGATTTCAGAACTTATTTTAAATGGATGACTTTAAAAACTTGGATATGTCTTCAATGTGGGGGTTTAACATGCCAAATGCAGACTGGTGATGGAGATCTGACGGCCTAAAGCTGCAATACACACACAGAAATAATAAACTATAGTCTTATCGGCATGTAGTATCTATTGAAGTGCATGTATGTATGGAGCACCTGTAACTTTCTGTTGTGCATTGCTTTAATACAGATACAGAAAAGCATCCTTTAAGTCAGTTTAAAGCATGTTGCAGCGTTTAGTAGGAAATAAATAATGGTAATCTAGTCTTGAGCCATCCATGCTGTCCCATACCAAGATGTACTTATCAGACATCATCAGTCTACTTTGTTACTCCACCTGTGATAGCTGTGACGCCAGCATAAACAAAGGCGTGGCAGATATAGAACATTTAACCAAAGTCACAACACATGATGATTTTAAAGTATCAAGGTTAATCTTTGTGTCATTTGACAGCACAGGGGCACAATCAAATGTAAGTTATAGCCCATTCATGCTGCACACACATAGTTCATATATACAAAAATTTAATTTAGAATAAAGTAAAACTATATATGCAGTTACTTGTTTACATATACACTCAGAAGGTACCATTAACCATTTCTCTTGAAACTGATATTTACGCAAGATGATTGTCTTTTGTGTTCTTGTGTTACATGTAGATGTAGGAGGTGTTATATCTTAGGACAATATAAACATCTGTGCTCTACTTTGTGTGTGACAGGAAACAATATGTGTGAAATGTGCTGAAATGGCGACAGAGGCCATGAAATGTGGTGATATAATTACTAACTCTTAATTTAACATGTGTTGCCATTAAGAATTGGAAAACATCCTAAATCACAGTCTAAGAAATGTCATCTGTACATTGTGTTGGCAGTCAGCAAATGTATATGTATAATGTGTATTTTATTATTCATTACAGGCTTTTGAATTCCAATTCTCTCACAACTGTAAGGGATGATGCATTCTCAGGTCTTCCACATCTGGAGTATTTGTAAGTTCTTCTGTTGGTTTATATTAAAGTAGTGCAAAAGAATTCAGTCAATAAATGTAATAACTTATCATGAGTAGGTAAAAGCATTAATTTAATCAGTTGCGACTGCACACTTTAATCCAACATGATCAAAACAGACCTTTAAGAATGTTGTTATGGACAAGAGGTTATGTTTTTGGATGCTGTCTTTCAGAAAGTGAATAAGGCAGGAAAATATCAACCGTACGCCCTCTACTGGTTCAATTTGTACCAGAACAAAATCTTCACTCATATGTCCACAAACAGTTTCTAAAAAAAGTATTACAAATGCATATCAGTATTGTTGCTGGAATTACAGCCATTTTGGAAAACTGCCTTCTTAGAGTTTATTACAACCCGCAAGTCTGAGTGAAATGTTACTATAATGTTTACAAAAATGTCATCTATTCATCACTAGAGTATACGTATATATCCTGACCAAAAGCTGCACAACATTTACTACGATCAGTATCATATTTATAAAAGTCTAAAAAGACTGGAATGCCACTGGAATGGAAATAGTGACTTGAGCACTTTCCAGACCCAGTGGCAGAGGCAGCTGCTGTGTTCATGTGTTTATAGTATGTGTAGACTATTTTTTAAAAGTAATTTTACTATAGATTCATGCACCATTATTGATGTAAAAAAAAGTCATATGCACAAAGCCTTACTTGTCTGCAACTGAGTTAATATGCATGTTAGAGAACTAGAATACCAAGTTTATGACTAAATCCAATATGCTTTTGTTATCTTTCACAGGTTCATCGAGAGTAATAAGATAGAGACTGCATCCAAATATGCCTTCAGAGGACTCAGGGACTTGACTCACTTGTATGTTCCAGTCTTTAAAATCCTTCCCAAACAAAGACTGTTAAAATCTCAATTTTGTAAAATGTATTTGCTGTAATAAGGCGCAACTGTGGGCCATTGTATATGATGCTAAATGTTGTTCCATTTTCTTGCAATGGAATTATGATATTCTTAATAAATACTATTTTATGTATTGATTTATTGCTGTTGTTTCTAGGTCTTTGGCAAATAACAACATTAAAGCCTTGCCCAGGGACCTCTTCATTGACTTGGACTCACTGATAGAGCTGTAAGTTTGTTGAGAAAATAGTGTAAATGTCCTCTGTTTTCGTTTTCATGATCTGTGCCAAAGATGGTGTCCTTGTTGACGCATTATGTTAAGATATATCTTCCTCCTCTCCCCTTTTTTCTTCTAAGATGCTTTATAGCTTGACTACTTTGTTTATCTGCAATGACATACAGTACTTATCTCCTGCAGGGACCTGCGAGGCAATGCCTTTGAATGTGACTGCCGTGCCAAGTGGCTGATGACGTGGCTGAAGAACACCAATGCCACGGTGTCGGATGTCGTGTGTGCCGGACCGGAGGACATGAAGGACAAGCGCCTCAATGATATGACCAGCCTGCACAATGAATGCGTCTCAACGGGTAAAAAAACCCCTGAGCCAACTGGCCTTGTCTCTAGTCTAACTGACATCAGTATCAGGCAACGCAATCGGGTCATCGGAAGAAGTCTAAAGAAAAAAAGTGTAGTTTTCTGAGTTTCAAAGTGGCTTTGCTTTTAGAATGTGATCATCTTGTGGAAAATCTCAATGCAGAATGTGTTTTTCCACAGATTTCGTGCTGCATCAGTCCGTGGCATCTGAGTCTCTGTCTGTTGACACATTCAGCTATAAGAATGATGTCTATGTGACTATTGCTGCTCCCAGCACAGACAGCTGTATGGTTTTACAGTGGGACCACATAGAAATGAACTTCAGAACTTATGATAACATCACAGGTATGGCGATGCCTTAACAAATTGCCTCAGAATACCCTGACTGACACTCATCTGTTTATAACTTTTTCCCTGCCTCCTAGGTCAGTCCATTGTGGGGTGCAAGTCAGTTGTCATCCAGGACCAGGTGTTTGTCATCGTGGCTCAGCTCTTTGGTGGTTCCCACATCTACAAGTTTGACGAAGACCAAAGCAGGTTCAGCAAGTTCCAGGACATTGAGGTGTCCAAGATCTCCAAGCCGAATGACATTGAGGCATTCCAGATTGGTTCTGACTGGTTCTTTGTGATAGCTGATAGCTCAAAAGCGGGCCTGTCCACTCTCTACAAGTGGAACGATAAGGGCTTTTATTCATACCAGTCGCTGCATGAGTGGTACCGCGACACAGATGCAGAGTTCTTGGACTTGGATGGGAAGGCCCACCTTATCTTAGCGAGCCGCTCACAGGTGCCTGTGATCTACCAGTGGAGCCGGAGCAACCAGAAGTTTGTCTTGCAGGGCGAGATCCCCAACATGGAGGATGTTGTAGCTGTAAAGCACTTTCGGATCAAGGAGGAACTCTACTTGGCTATGACACGCTATATTGGTGACTCAAAAGTTCTACGTTGGGGTGCCAAACAATTTGCAGAGGTCCAGGCCTTGCCCTCACGAGGGTCCATGATTCTTCAGCCATTCTTCTTCAAAGAACGTTACTACCTGGCCTTGGGAAGCGACTATACCTTCTCTCAGATCTATCTGTGGGATGATGACAAGAAACTCTTTGACCGCTTCAAGGAGGTGTACATCCAGGCCCCACGCTCCTTCACTGTGGTTTCCACTGACCGCAGGGACTTCATCTTCACCTCTAGCTTCAAGGGAAACACACAGATCTTTGAGCACATTATCATTGACTTGAGCTTGTGAGGGGCTGTGCCTTATTGCCCGTCCTGCAATCGAACGTCTTCCACTAAAAAGATACATTTGTGAAGGGAAAAGGCTCAGAACAGACTTAATGAACTGTTAAATATAAATTCCTACATAGTTTTCTGTCAGAAATAGGCGCTGGGTCAAGTAGTTTTTGGAATCCTTTTCCGTTTCTTAAGGTGTCTTGACCATTACTCAATGGCCTTGTCCTATTATCTGTTCTCATGGCCTCTCAGACTTTCAGAGATACCACCATTTCACAAAGAGTGAGAGGGAGAGTCAAGAGGGTGGACAGTTGTACAAGGCAGCTGGTAAATTCCCAAAAACTCCAGCTGACATTCCAGAGGGTGGAAATATTTGAATTATAATATGATCTATTTGGATGTATAGATTTTGGTTAATATCCCCTGTGCTAATGGTTTTATACCCCCCAAAAAATATAACAGGACTTTAGAGAAAGATAATTTTACTACTGAGGGTGTAACAGGTGTGGTTGCCACTTACCTCATGTCCTCTTACCCTGTGGTAATGTACAGTATGTTGCCTTATCAGCACTGGGGTTCTGTGTTCTGATGGGTCCACAGTGCCGCCCTCTGGCCGTGATAAAGTATCACACCCCTTTGCTTTTTCCATACAGGGAATCTCTTGAAAGCACAAACCTTTAATTGTCGTAGCTGAGACCCCAGCCCTTAGAGGTTAGTTGTTAAGTGGAAATGTTGCTGTAGGTGCTATAGATTATATTGCGTACAGTAAAAAAGGAAGAAGTGTTTTGTTGTTTTAGGAGGTGAAATATTCAGGACTGGATATAGCTAATGCCTTTTTAGACAAACACATATGAATGGAAAATCCCCATTTACTCACCCTTTTAGTTCAGAGGAACTATAAGTGGCAAATCTCTTTTTATCCATTTAGTGGAAAGGACCTGTGTTAAGGCTAAACCTATTAACAATACACGTTTGAAAAAATAACCACAGTTGGACTACTGACATAACTTAACTTTACTTTTTAGGCTATAACTAAAACAAGGCTCCTTACAGCAAAAGTCAGTGGACTCATATAAATACATTTAATAAGAGGACATTTGTTTGTCCAAAACCGAAGGAAACAAAATGTTGATGTAAATATATCCACTCAAGTTGAGAGGCTTTTTCGGTCTGTCTTTCTGTTCTTTGAAAATACTGAATGTTGACTTACAAACTACAACATGTACATAAAACAAGGACTGCAATGCCACTACCTGTTTGTCACACAACAGTCTGAACTGATCTTTGCACTTACTTAAAAAAAAAAAGTTACTGCAGCTTGCAAGAGCATGACATTCAAAAAAAGGGTGTTTGCCAAATTACTTTTAATGAACCTAATAAACTCAGAAGTCTAGAAGTGCTTCTACTCATTAAGTGAATGGTATTGCAATTAAAAAAAACATAATTGAATATGCAAGCTTTACAACATGAAGATTCTTTTGTATGATTATGTTTTAAGCATACTGAATGTTACTCTCAAAATATACTGTAAATTTAGTCAGTTGCGTATCAAAATAAACGTGTAAAAGTATGATTGTAAGATGTGTTTTATCATTCATTGATCATTAGGATTATGTCACTGTCAATATCAGGAACAGTTTTATTTTCTCCCCTAAAAATAATTAATTTCTTTGTTATAGGGAAAACCAGCAATATTTATTTTGCTGCCTTAACAACAGGCACTGGGATCTTACAGCTGTAACAATCAGTATTTTTATATTGATGTAATGAGCACCAAACTGCAGACTTTTATCAGTACCTAAAATATGATGTCACCATCATCCATGCTGTAATTCAAGATGAGGATTCATATGAAGCCCCAGCTCACAGTTGAACACAGTGTTAGTCCACAATGCAAATGAGCACTGTAAAGGCTATGCTGTCACAAATGTAAAGGTCTACAGTCGGGCAACTGTACTGGCTTACCCAGAGCAGCTTCTTCACGCTGCAAGATTCCTACATTCACCGTCTGCACTCCACCATAAAAATAGTTTATTTTTATGACTTATTACTTATTTATCTATTTATATAATTTTTGTTTTGTAAGTAGCATAAAGGAACTCCAAATCACCAACTGTGTTATAGAATTATAAATAAATTAACCCTACGCTATCATCATGCTTATATTATTTACATATAATGTAGTTCTATAATATGTGTTCATCCAATAACGTTGCAGGCTCCAGTATAAGACAGCTGATACCCTGGCAACCCAGCAGACCTCATAATTTGTGTGTACTGCCTGATTTTGTTACCCAAAAAACTGAGTTGTCTCTATTCAGGGCGAAAAAGGTTTTTCGCCCTGAATAGTGTCTGTAGGTAACCTTTAACAACAAATGTGATGCATAAGGATGTGAGTACAAGATAACAACAGCCTAAAACCATAAATGTGAAGAGGGCATGTCCTCCCCAGTCTCGTCCAGTCTGTAGCTGTAAATGGGAGGACCAAGTGACAGAGAAAGGCAGAGTCATAGTAAAAGAGTTTCAAAGAAATGCACACAAACCAAAGCATGCTGAATTTGCATACATATAATTCATACTACAGAGGACACCACACTTCAACAATGTAAGTTGATTTTCCTACAATCCTCTAAGATTCTTTTTCAAATCATATTGTAAAATAAGTGTAATAATCATAGTGTGTTTGATTAAGAGAAACATAATAATGTAGACCTGCTCTTATTCAAAATCCATTCTTGTGGCTATTTGATGTCATCATAATGAATGTTTACTTACAAACACAATGTGTCATTCTTGTACCTACCACGACCAAAAAGTATTCATAGAAATTTCACAACTGTTCACAATCTAAGTTGAATTCTGGTTGCCAACCTGAAGGAGGAAGTCCAAAGTCTAAACAGTCAGTGAGGGCAAGGTGTGGCACTCTATACATTAACAAGTCATAGCTGTACATGCCGATACTTGGCTGAGGGCTTTGTGAATCACAATGGTAATACATGTCATATCTAGTTATACAGTACTTACTGTAGCTGTGCTTGAGTTTCTTATTGAGTTTGCCTCAGCAAGCGGCTTTGTCTACATTTTAAAATGGCATAAAATCTAATCTAATCTAGTCATCATTTTGTCTTTTTCGCAGTTACCCTGAAGTAAAGACATGAATGTCATCACACAGTTTGAAATTGTTCCGCCTAAAGAAACACATCCTTTAATACAGTGCATATTTGACAACAATCTCAAGAAGCTCAAAAAATTACTAAAGGACAACAATATCAATCATCGTTACCCATGCAGAAAGTTGAAGGACTATGTAACTCCACTGACTGCTGCTGTTGTAAATCACAATACGGATATTTGGACTTTCCTTTTGTGTCAGGGTGCCGATCCAAACCAAGCTTCCGAAACTGGCTTAACACCTTTGCATTACGTCTCACTATCCAAAGCACCTCTTGTCTTTGTGGTTAAACTGCTTGAAGCAAAAGCTAATCCAAATGTATGGAGTATACAGCGAGTCTCACCTCTGCAAACTGCTGCCATCAATGACAGGGACGATGTTGTGAGAGAGCTCATCTCTGCTGGTGCACTGGTAACATTATTACCTGTCACTGATCCTATACATATGACTCAAAATAAAAAGATCTCTCTGATGATTCATAACCTTGCATCAAAAGGAGATGAATTATGCTGCACAATCAGACATTTCCTGGATATGGAAATTGATGTGCGAGGAGAGCCACCTGAAGAAGTGTTCAAAACGTTTGACAGTCACATGCTGCAGGAAGATCCTCGGAACCATCTGACCATGATTGAAGTGCTCTTTAATCTTGATGGGCCAGGTAAAGAAAAATACAGAGAAGGGTGTATTAAATGGCTGAAGAACACTGAAAATGTGAACACCTACATTGCAGGAGCAGTCAGTCGCCTTCCAAACATCCCTGCGATACATGTAAAGAGGGCCATTGATAGTTTACATGCAGTTATCTGCACAATAGAAGACATACCAAATGAGCAAGCTCTAGCTTTAATCCCTCAACTACTGGACCGGCTTTGCTCAGAAGAGAAACCTGATATTTGGGAAGCTGTTCTGCAAACACTGTATGTGATAACACAGAAATCAAAAGACACAGATGGCTGGGATCCCAACTTTGTTGAGAAGTTGTGCAAAACAGTTGCTCCTTTTGTAAAGGACCGACACTGTTCTGACATTAGAGTCTTCACATACAGTGTATTAGCAAACTTACTTTCAAATAACCATGCGGTTGACACCTTTACATCAGTGGGGATAAGTTCAGTGCCTGAGGACATACTGACATTTGCAGATATGAAAATGAATGACAAGCTGAAAGTAGTCCTCAGACGACTAAAAAATCATTTCAGCTCACCGAAGTCGGAATGTGAGGACAGTACAGCCTTACCTGGATCCAAGAAAAAGAAAAAAAAGAAGAAGAAAAAGAAGGAAAAGTCAGAAAAGTTAGAAGACCCAAATGATGATCAAGTTCTGACAACAACTGATCCAACATCAGCTCCTATTGTGGAGTCAACTTCAAATGTTAAGCCATTCCACTTCAACACCACTATGTCATCAAAAACACACAAATGGCTACAGATCAGCAAGAGGTGGAGAGAAAAATTAGAGAAGCTTCTGAGCACTGATGACAGTAAAGTATCCAGAATTGGGAGTATGATTTATGTGAATGATGCAGAATTCCGCATTGCAAAGGGCAGTGATGGTACTGAGGTCTTTCTGGGGCTGAGAGATGATGGCACTGAGGTTGCTATTAAGAGAATGTCTAAATGCAACTATCAAGTGCTGAAGAATGAGGAAGGAATTCTACGACTTCCAGAGCTTGATCATCCATCCATTGTACGATATGTTGATGCTGCGGAGGATGAGAACTTTGGATATCTTGGTCTTCAACTTTGTGAATACACCCTGGAAGAATACATCCAAAATAGTGATGGTGGTCTGCTGATAAAGAAACTTGTCTATCAGGTTCTCGACAGTTTAAGGGTGCTTCATTGTCAAAATCCTCCAATTCTCCACCGAGATCTCAAACCACAGAATGTTTTGATTGGTAAGACAAGTTATGACAAGCAACAATGTTTGAATTTATAAGTATATAATTTGTTTCCTGAGTTTTTCTTCCTGATTTGTTGTGCAGATGTTAACGGGAGGGCAAGATTAGCTGATTTTGGTATAAGTAGACGGTTACTCAAAGGCCAAACAACTTATCGCACAGGCAGCGCAGGAACAAAATGCTGGATGGCCAAGGAGACATTAGCAGGCAAAGCTGACATACCATACAAGCCAAACACTGATGTCCAGGTCCGTTTTTTCTCCTGCACAAAAGTTAACTGATGACTTGGTGAAAAATACTTCCTTAATTGCAAAAATGTTCTGTTTTTAAGGTGGCAGGGATGCTCAGTTATTATATCCTCTCTGGTGGACACCATCCTTTTGGCGACAAACCCTATGAATGTGAGTACCACATTCATGAAGGGAAGTACAGTTTGGACCATGTTCAAGATGTGGTGGCAAAGGATCTCACTGAGTGGATGATCGATGCAGAACCAAAGAACAGACCTAAAGTGGAAGAATGCTTGAGTCATCCCTTCTTCTGGACCATTAAAAAGTGAGGACGAAACTCTGATTGATTGACTGATTGATTCATTAAAATCCTTTTCCATTTATGGGATGGCGATATCAGTCTAGAACTTTGTTGAGAGTAAAACATTTCAACATTATTGGATGGAATGGCAAATTTGGTAAAACCATTCAGGGTTCCCAGACAATGTATTTTAACAACTGGTGATCCTCTGACTCTTCATCTATTGCCAGCAACAGGTTGACGTTTTAGGTTGGGGATGAAATGTGTTCATACCTTTTCTGAATAGCCACCAAGGCAGAGTGAAGTTTGCTATTATTGCCTCATCTTAGCTGCGTCCCACTTCCTCACTAATATCCAACAATCAACAGTCTTTTGCATATGTTGTCATCTCTATGTGATAAAGTGTGCCAGTTGGGATGCAACAACTGTGTATATGTTCAGTCTCATCTCAAAGGCATTTGTAGTGTTCATTCAGTTGTACACACAAGAAGTAATGAAAGTACAGTAGTGGTATAAAGAATATAAACAAAAGTCTACAACCATGTAACAGTTGTGCATGGGTGATGGGAATGTCATTACGGTTTGCAAGTATTTAGTCATAAAATTAATGTTACCATACCTGTGGAGAAATATTACCAAATTTCATGGCAACCTGTCAATCACACGAGGAACAGTCAGCGGATCACCAAAGTCATTGCAATTCATTCTCTGGGAATAGGGTTGGGTGCTGTTCACATTTGAATCTATACCAATAATGGTACCAGTAACTGGAGTTTGTTACCAGTACCCATATGGGACCTTTTTTTTGCTTTCATAATGCAATATTTCATAATATATATATGTGTGTGTGTGTGTGTGTGTGTGTGTGTGTGTGTGTGTGTGTGTGTGTGTGTGTGTGTGTGTGTGTGTGTGTGTGTGTGTGTGTGTGTGTGTGTGTGTGTGTGTGTGATTCACATTCTATTGGTTTTATACAAAGGTTGTGTACATCTCACATACAAACTTGCTGGTCACACTAGAGGAACAGTTAGATGATCACCAAAGATCAATACTCTGGGCACCAGGAATATCTCTACTAAATTTCATGACATTCCCTTTAATAGTTGTCAAACTTCTGGTGGTATTAATCACCAGGATTCTGTGCACCCTGGTCATTCACCTGATAGAGGTACCAAGGCTGATTTCTTACCACAGTAGCCACAGGTTTCAATCCAACCCTGTGGCCCTACTGCATGTCCCCTCTCTTCTCTCTCTTCACCATCTTGAGCTTGCAAAAAGTCACCCCCCTACAGCCTAACCTGTGACACATGTACTGTAATAAGCTAACAGTATGCTCATTGGCTTTGAAAGTAACGCTAGATGTAGGTAGCAAGTTAGCCAGACATGCTAATATTTGCAGGGCACATAACATTTAATCCATTCCTTACAGTTTTGCTGCTGTTTAGTTTTGCACGCTGCTTTGGCATGTGGGTAAATCTAAAGCATACTAGGCCTGTCAGCCTAGTTAGGGACAACAAAACAGTATTATTAATACTTTTTCAAGGTTCTATTCATTTGGCAAATCACATATCTTTTTTTTTTTGCAGGGGAGAAGAATACTTGAGTAAGATTGGCAACAGGGAGGAGGTGGCAAACTGTCGAAATGCTGTCCCGGAACTGATCTGTTCACTGGAAAAATGTGCTGGGGATGGATCCTTCAAACAGTGGAAAAATAAGGTGACAGCAACTGCAACATAACAATAGTTTCTGTATACCTAAATTCAACGTGATGACTAATTACTTTAGGTGTTGTAGTTTCCACCAGAGTTGGTCCAGAAGATGGATGCCAAGAACAAAGCCTACCCTGACAACATACTGGGATTACTGCGCTTCATACGAAACCTCCATGAGCACTAGTGAGTGAAACTGAGTTAAAGCTGATACAGGGCCTTAACTCACCACTAAAATCAAACTTCACAAAGACACTGAAACAATAACTTTAAGACACATAAAAAAATTTTTT